CCCCCCCCCTCCTTAATGCTAAGTCTGCAGAGGCCGACTGAAATTTTGCCCTGGTAGACCTTGGGTTTCTTGAAAATTATTGGTGCCAATGTAAAACTGGGAGGGTGGGGAATGATAGAATTAGATATAATGAGGGAAAGCCACTGGAGCTGCAAACTGGATCTCAGTCAGGGGCAGGATCCAATCTTTTTGAGAAGAAGGACTAGGTAAACTGGATCTCAGTCAGGGGCAGGATTGGATTGGAGGAAATTAGAAATGCTGAAGAAAAGCCGCTGGAGTTGCCAACTGGATCTCAATCAGGGACAGGACCAGATTGTATGATCAAAGCTTATTGGGAAAAAGGAAAAGGTAAAAGAGTCAGAGCTGTCCCCGCTTTTTAGTTTCGAAATGTAAAATGCCAGTTGTTAACCAACATTTTATAGCTCATATGAAGTACGTAGATTCCTTGGCTGCGACGGCAATTTCTGATTCACTCTTGGTGGTTTTTTTTCTCTTCCCAGTAATACTACACTTGAACTTGTCTCCCAACAGTAGACTTCCTTGGCGAGGAAAATCATTTGTCAGCCATCACTAAAATTCTTTGATGAATGCCACCAGTGTTCCTTTATGCCAAAGTTAGTTCCTCATACAAGCACAGATTACCTGAGACCTGTCAGTTCTGTTAGCATTTTGTTTTGTGCAAAACATCTCCAGATCACTGCGTTTCCACTACCTTGATATCTAGAAAGCTTCAATATATTTTAATGCACCTGGAGTATTTGATTCAGAAAAGCTGTGCAATGAACAAGTACTGTAGGTGTGTTTTCAGGTAGAAAGCCAGTGGTCTAACTGGATCTTCTGTATTGTAAATACTCTAATCTAGTTAACATTCAAGTATCTAAATATGCCTTTAGGTTAAGCTTGTTAATGTTTGTGCTCTTTAGACAAATAACCAGTCTCGGAGTATTCTTAGGGTGGGTTTTATACATAGACAATTTTTTCAGTTGAGACTGCTAAAAAAAAAGTGTAATTCTCTTTGTAGTCTGGCAATAATCAGTCATAACTGTATTGTCTAGACCAGCGGTTCCCAACCTTTTCTATACCCCGCACCCCTAGAACGCTTCGGATATATTCTCACACCCCTTGCAAAAGTTCAAAATAACGGCAACGAATTATGCATATACACTATAATTTTGAAAACCCAAGTTTTTGCACTCCCCTGGAATATTGTCTCACACCCCCAGCGGGTGCGAATATCCCCAGTTGGGAACCCCTGGTCTAGACCATACTTTGGAGATGACTTGGAGTGTTTTTGTGTGCGACAATGTATTAAAAAATACAGGCTGTATTCACAGGATTTGTTTACCACTTAACAGACTTCTCTGGGATCACATTGCAAGTTGAAGTATACATTTAGCTATACGGGCCAAATTAATTCATTATGTAGGCTAGTTTATGAGGACATGAGAATGGCCCTCCAGGATCAGGCTAAGAGGTTATAAGCCTAGCCTGAAACAGTTGTTCATTTTTATCTGTGAAAATACGCTGGATGAAGAAGTCATTTATTTTATGTAACGCTCTCAGGTTCCTTATTAACACCCACAATATTTGGGGGCAGGGAGGACATGCTTTTTTTTAATCTTTGTATCAGGGTTGATGACATTTGACAGATGGCATTGGCTTATATTCACTATAAAAAAACCTGCACCTGTAAGACATTAAAATGTGGAGCAGTTCCTTTCATCTTCAGCTGTTTTCTTCCCTTCGTCTTGCAATATTGATTTATACATAGGGAGCAGTTAAGAGTTTTCAGCTATAGATAAAATGGTTTTAGGTTGACAAAAAAAAACCCATTTGCGATATTTTCCTGATACCACATGCCGTACAGTTTGGGGGGAAAGCAAACTTCACAACAACAACTCTTGGCATTTTCTATTTGTGCAGGCAACGTGTAAAGAGCCCCACCGTGCCTTTATTTTGGGTTTGGTTTCATCGCCTCTTGAGTGTGGTTTTTTTTTTTTTTTTTAAACCCGGCTTCAAAATGCCAGGGATTTTGTTCACCATTTAAAAAATGTGAAATCTGCGAATGTTCCTCTAAGTCAGTGTTTCTCAACCTTGACCATTTTAAGGCATGTGGAACGTCAACTCCCAGAATTCCACAGCCAGCATTGCTGGCTGTGGAATTCTGGGAGTTGAAGTCCACATGCCTTAAAATGGTCAAGGTTGAGAAACACTGCTCTAAGTAAAGTCAGAATTGTCTTTTAAAGCAATTTTTCTTTCTTTCTTTCCACAGAGAATATGAAACAGGCGTCAAAATGACATCCAGATTCGGGAAGACCTATAGCAGGAAAGGTGGCAATGGCAATTCCAAATTTGATGAGGTTTTTTCCAACAAACGGACCACTCTCAGCACGAAATGGGGAGAAACTACCTTTATGGCCAAGCTAGGCCAGAAGAGGCCCAACATTAAGCCAGATATTTCCGAGATCCCTAAGAAACCCAAAGTCGAAGAGGAAGCAATAGAAGATCCGTTTGGATTTGACAGCGATGAAGAGTCGCTGCCAGTTTCTTCCAAGAACGTGTCCCAAGCGAAAGGCTCCGCTCAGCTGGAGTCAGTCGAAGTTTCCCAGCCTGCAGATTTCTCTTCTGTTCTTGAGTCTAATAGTAGATTTCTTCCCTCGCTTGGTGAAGACGCCTTGGCCAGCAAAGGTGTGTCTTTTGATAATGCCACGCACGACTTGAAAGAGAAGAATTCGACCAGAAACATGGCAGAAGACTTCAGAAGCAGCAGTGCTCACCCTCTAGCTTCAGGTACGCTTTGCGTTANGGGGGGGTGATTTCTTTGAAACAACAATATTGCTATAGATTCTACTTGGATCCAAGTCTCCTGTTGGGTAATTCATTTCAGGAAGTCACCAGAGGTGCTATCTTTTCTATAATGCTTTAATCCACTTCCTGTTCTGTTCACTGGGGCAGTTTGCATCTACAAACACCTTCATCAAACTTCATTGCATTCATATGCTAAAAACTCCTCTAACTGTTGACATTTACGGTATATAACATTTTCAACAAATCCAAAGCTTTTTGTTAACCTTAAGCAGTCTTTGTAAAACTGTAGGGTGTACCTGATTACCACTTAATTGGCTTTCAACTTTTCAGTTTTTGGAAGAGTTAAAATTCAATTACTTAACTATCTCTGTTTAAGTAGTGTGTTAATAACTGAAGGTGTTTTCTTGAAAAGAACTGTGCCTATTGGAAGTAGAATAGAAATGTAATTGTAATGGCCTTCTGCTCTGTCTTAAAAGTAAGTACTTTTCTACCCATGTGGTAGAATAGAAATATAACAAGTGCTAAAACATGTAAATATCACCTGTGAATAAAAGTAAGTTAATGCAGGAATAAGTAGAAAAAAAGAGAGGTATGTTTTGTTCTCTTGCTATAATGTCCAACTGTTTTAAATTACATATGAAATGTTATTGTAGAAACTCTGTGTCTATCCATGTATATACACACAGACAAACATTTGTGTGTGTGTGTGTGGGGGGGGGGGGGTTCTGAAAATACTGAGCCTTAAGAAAAGGATGCAAAATTGAAGGTTTTAATAGAACTCAAGCTTCCAGTGAAAATCATAGGGTAATAATACTATTCATTAGTGAAATCCACCTGCTCAAGAATTGAAAGAAAAACATGTGGTGTTTACTTACTCAGGTGAAATCCCACAGAGTAATAGTCATCTGGATTCCTGAAATCCTTAGTAAAATAACAACTCTTCATTCACTAGGCATGTGCCTGCACATATAGTCAAATTATAGTAGCATATACCTATATTTATAAAATTAAGCAAAGTTCAGGTTTGGTATTCCATAGCTACAAGTGAAGAAATTGTTTTGGTTTCTTTCTAGGTCCTAGAAACGGAGTCATTTTAAAACAAAATTGTGTCCTCATCAAATTGCACTTCAGCTAGGAGATGTAATGCCGTTGGAGTGCTAATTTTTTTAAATTTTTTTCTTTATTGGATTTTTTTATCTTCCGCACTTTTTTGTAAGAGTTTTAAAGGCATTTTGCTTGAGCATCAGCTTGTATGTACCTGTCTGTCATATTAGACCATAGTTTGTTGCCACCCAAATGAGCCAGAGTGAACTTAATGCTTGGCTGCCTCTCTTTCTTCTGTGTGGCTGGGAGATTAAAAGCTTAAATTATGGTCAGTGTCTGTACTGATAATACGATTAACACATTAACAATACAGTTATTTAGCTTGTTAAATCCAAACAAGTTGAAAAATTATTAACGCTTTTAAGATTTAACATCTAACAAAATAACAATCTGTAATTTAATCAGAAAAGGAAGAAGCAAAAACTGCTGAAGAAAATGGACAGTAGGGGATTTGTGGTTTATCTGAGTTTCACTAAACTGTGGTTTAGGGCAATGTGCAAATTCTGCTACCGTGCATATTATGCAGCTGTTATAATTTGCAGTGCTGTCCTCTATTGATGGCCACTGTTGCCAGATATATCATTTTATCTATCCCTGGCAGATATTCCTCTTAATTTTTTTTTCTCATAAAGTTCAGGTGTTCTGCTCTGTCTGGAGATATCTAATGTTCAAAAGCCTCAAAGTGACTTTTATTACGCCTTCTGTCCTTTTTGATAGTGCTTTGGTGCACGCGGTCTTGAATTAAATTAGTTGGGGAGGTGTTTCCTTAATGTTTCTCTTCTGATACAAACATTAGTCTTATCAGTGCAACATGTAAATAAGTTAGTTTGTAATGCCGAAATTGCCTTTCGTTTCTTCCAAAACCGAGGTCAATCAAAACAAAAACGTTAGGAATCTGGGCCCAATATTTACACCTTGTTATCAGTGATCCAGAGTTATAAACAAGAAGAGAAGTAACTCAAGTCTGCAAAAGATATCAAAGGATTTACTGTAATTTAAGCCCCTTCCCCCCATCTCATCTCCAGTCTCTCCCCCCTCCCCAATGGAATTAAGAGCTTTAGCAAGAATTTTCAGACTTGGGAAATGGAGATTACAGTGGCGAATGCAGCTAATATTGTAAAAACATTTCTAGTATTTTAACCGTAACGTGCTTTTTTTGAATTGCAAGCCACCCAGAGTCATCGCCTGAGATGGGTGGCTATAGAAATGGAATGTATGTATGTCTTGAGTGTTTTTTTGATGCCCCTGTTGGGAAGAAGAAATCTTTTTGAGCTAATTAGCTGGAAATAGCTATCCCAGTCCCCCTTTAATTCTTCGTTAGCAATCCAAATTTTTTTAGTGTATGTATGTATATATGAATGAATGAATGAATGAATGAATGAATGAATGAATGACCGTGTTTCCACGACCCGGTCTTGCTTTCTTTTGGATTCTGAAGTAAGCACTAGGACAGTGGTGGCGAACCTATGGCATGGGTGCCAGAGGCGGCACTCAGAGCCCTCTCTGTGGGCACGCGCGCCGTCACTCCAGTCCTAGGCCTTCAGCTGGGTTTTCGATTTAAGCCTCCGCCGCTGTGCGCAAAAAAAAAAGGTTCAATCAGTCAATTTCAACTTCTCGCGGGAAAAAAAAGATCTTGCAAAGTTGGAATTGATTGATTGAACTTTTTAGTCCCACCCAGTCTGTCGTTACCACTGCAGCCACGCTCACCCAATGGGCTACGCCCAGCCAATGGGCCACACTGATCCGGCACTCGACGATGCATAAGTGGGTTTTGGGTTGCAGTTTGGGCACTCGGTCTCTAAAAGGTTCGCCATCACTGCACTAGGATTTACTTTTGGGGAGGGCTTACTTTTGGCTGGTACCAGTGGGCCGCGAGCACACGCGGGTGGGGCGGGGCCTGTGCATGGAGTGGAGAAGCAACACAGCGGCGAGAGCGTGGTGGCGGACCAGGTATGGTACCGGGGCAGGCAGGGTGCGTGCCCTTCCTGTAGCCAGGCCAGCCCCTGTAGTCCCAGGGTGGCCGTGCTGGGTGGCGGCGGGGAGGGTGGGGGCGGCCAGGCCAAAGAAAGCGGCAGGTGGAGCGCCGGAGGCCCGGGGAGGGAGGGAGGGTGGTGAAGCGGGCGGGCGTCCTGCCGTCAGCATCCCCCATGCCTTTCCTTACCTGATTGCCAGCCCCATGCCATTTCTCCTTCACGATCTGCCGCCACGTGCAGGGAAACAAAAGTTTGTGTGTGTGTG